GTTTGAGTCGATGGGGATTCAGGACCAGAAGAGACTGTGAGTACCACTCTCTGTAAATACTCTGTGATAGTGGGGAATGTTTTGTTCAAGCGGGGAGTTGCCACTTGTTTGCAGATTGTGTGATAATTCGGGGGTTGGGGGTGGGGGGCGGAATTGGGGCCCCTTCTCGCCGCCTGCACTTGAACGGGGACCGGTTCCGGGAGGGATTTATACGGTAACTTACAGACCTACCTCTACAAACTTCTCCTTGTCGTGATGGATCACCACAGAAACACGCCTCTTGCTTTCAGCGCTTTGGCAGTTCACAGCACCGAGCGCGGGAAGCACATAGCCGGAGAACTTCCCGGTAACACCTCCACTTCTCAACAAATTGGCCAGTTTTCGGGCGGCTGCTGTCGGATCCCAGGCCCCGCGATCCTAGTTGAGTGGGTTGGCGGAAATACGGTAACAAGACGGGGTGGTGATGGTTGGGTGAGGGGGTTGGGTTGCCAACGTCCATCACAGACAAGGCACACTGGGAGCTGTCCATTTGGTCCTCCGAGTAACATGGTGCTGAATCCTAATGAGCTGTTAGATCTCCGCTGGCCGGCTGTCTGTCACCCCAGCTGGTTACTCCACCCGGAATTACCACAGAATCACAACCCGGCTTCGCTATCACCCCCCCCCCCCCCCCCCCACCACCACACACACACACACAAACTGATAATTACCTCTACAGATTTCCATCATTGAATTTAATATTTACTGTAATAAATGTGGCTCAGTCGCAGTCTGGCCTGGGCCCGAGCCTATCCCTGTTCAGTCTGGACTGTGATCGTATCATATCCAATACTCGCGTACCTGCACGTGTAGCGTTGCAATGTTTGTAAAGAAGACTTTTCTATTCATAAAACTTTACAGTGAAAATACAGTATTTGAAAATGCCTTTTCTTAAAGCTTGATTCATTCCAAAGTTTTTTTTAAAAATGTCCCTAAATTATATTTGCTATTTAACATTGACTTAAACCGTATTGATAACCGTGTTGGGTTACCGGTAAGGATGTCAAGGATTCTCTTCAACCATGCCTTCAGCTCCCCTCTCGACTCTCTACCCCCTCCATGCTCCCTCTCTTCCCTCCCTCACCCTGACCATTTCCTCCCTGCTCAGGTCCCGACCCAACTGTCCAGCGCCTTGGGACGTCCTCCCGACATGAAAGGCACTCTATAAATGCAATCATGTTGTTGTTGCTGTTGTTGTTGATTATTATTTCAACGCCGTAAGATGTTCTTCTTACGTGAAAGGCACTATATACATGTAAGTTGTTGTGTTGTCATGTTGGGGCTGTCAGCCACGTGAGACCTAGGCCATTCCCAGGTTTGATCTCCACTATTTGCTGGGTTACTGATCTCAGACAGCACAGCAGTTGCCCTCCAGACTGCTGGGTGAGTGAATGAATGAGTGAGTGAGTGAATGAGTGAGTGTGAGGGAATCAGCCAGAATTCCTGCTCCTATCACCATCCAGATGTTTTGAAGTGAGTGTGTATGTTGGGTAAGGACAGGATTGGGCTGAGCTGTTGCCCTGTGGTTGACTACCTTGCTAACAACCAGTGACAAGCGCTCCACCATGGAGATAGGCCGTGGGGTGGAGGTACTGGGCATTGAAAAAAGAGGAAAACCACAAAAAAAAGGTAATCTTTCAAAGCACTAAAAATATAAAATGAGTTGGATGTCAGGTAATATTTAAATGAAGATTATCCCCCTTTCTTTGCAACCCTCCTAAACATATATTTCTTTGACCGCATTTTTGGTCAACATCCTCATTTCTCCATGCACTCTCTAATAGCTGTGTGGTCTTTAACATTTTAATCCCAGGTGAAAATTGCTATATACATGTGAATTGTTTATTGAATTGAAATGCAGAAATTTGGTGTTGCCTTGTGCATTTAACCGTGCCAACCTGGTGTAATAGTGCCACCCTGGTGTAACTGTGACACTCTGTGACCTGCAATACCCACACTGTTGCTTGGTCACTACCTTAGTGAGTGTAGAAACATTTAATTAATGCCCTCTGCCTTAGCTCTTTTTTCCTTCCTTCCTTCCTTCCTTCCTTCCTTCCTTCCTTCCTTCCTTCCTTCCTTCCTTCCTTCCTTCCTTCCTTCCTTTTCTCTCCATGCAGCACTGATTTCTCACCCCCCCCACCCCCCTCTCTCAGCCCAATAAATTTCTAGCATCCGTTTAGTTTTTATAAAATTATTTTGCTTTTAACTCCGCAATCAAAAATATTGCATTTGGCCGTTAATCCGCTAAAGCCTGAAATGGTTTTGGGGAGTTTGGATTAAACGGCAGCAGCCTTGATGTGACATGTAATTACAGGCATTGAGTGCAGTCTTGCAGTGATGTTGAGCAACAACACTGGAGTACTTATACAGCACTATTTAAATTTAAATGCAACTTTTTTTTAAAGATGCATTAAAAACCTGAATACGTTTCCACCTTCAACCCTATCAATCCAACGTCTACTATCAGGGAGGGAGAGAGGCGAGAGAAGGAAATCGGTGCAGACAAGATCCCGTTAGTGATGGAAATAGTCTGCAGTTTGGACACTAAATGTAGTAAATATCAAGGGGTTTTTGCTTGCCTGATAGAGTTTTATTAGATAGAGGTTTCATTCTGGATTTTAAAGATTACAAAGATTAAGTCTTTTAATTTCAGAAATGAATCCTAATAAGTGGCTAACATATACCTGCCAGCTTGGTTCAGTTGTTCAGGTTCTCACCTCTGAGTCAGAGGTTGGGAGTTCTAACTCTACAGTTGACCTGAGATTTGTTGTACTGTGCAGTGACAGGCTGTGCTGGATTACTGAAAGTGCTTTACTGTCCTCAGAACTTTAAAACCAGAGTTGCATCTTCCTGTTCAGGGCGATGTTGAACGTGTCTTGTGATTTTTAAGTCTGGGAGTTTTTCCTGGTGTTACCTGCTTAACATTCCTGATGCTGGGAACAATTTGGCTGCCTACAAACAGTTACTGTACTTCAAAACATCTCAATAACTTTATTGATGAATTACGGTGATGTGAGAGGCACCAAAGGATGGTGTATTAGTTGGATGTGGTACCTGGTGTCCAACTTCTCTCTGCTTACTCCCCTCTACACCGGAGTGACAGTTATTGAGGTGCCATCTCTGAAGTCCAGCCAGTGACCTTTCATTGGCCTATTGTTTCTTTGTGAGGGTGAAAGCTGATTGAATCCACTCTACCAGTGTGCGATTCCTGGTTTGAATATTTGCCAGGAGACAAATAAGGACAAGAACAATAAATGTTAGCCAGACTGAGACTTCCAGCTCTGCATTAACACCTTCACATGGAAATTCCCCTGTGTCTGAATAGGAATGTGCACTCACTCCCTGGAGGGATGCATCTTGCTTGCCTAATGCCAGAGAGTATCAGGTGCAGGTTATCGAGAGCTAATGCTTGGAGACCCAAGAGTGTGCATTGAAGTGGGTCCTATTGGGTAGAGGGAAACTATCTGGACAAGCTTCCTCTGCTTGTCCAGCTAGGACCTCCCTACCCTGTAGGACTTTGACTTGCAGAGTTAATGTAACATGTGTAAGCCTCCAGGTCTTGACGATGAGCCAGGTTGCCTGGTGTGCCATCAGCAGTGTTTTAAGATCATGCCCCTCCCCCACCCTACAACTAACTGTGAGCTTTGGGCTTTGAGGAGGAATTGAAACCCAGGATTGACCTGATGTCATCTCTGATGTCAATGAGGTGTCGTACTTGGCATTTGCTTCCTCGCTCTTTGCTCCGAGATTTGAGTCCTCACTGGGTATGAGCCCAGAGATAGCAGGGGACTTGGGGGAACTGTAGTTGAGCTTTACACATACCCCTCTCCCCTCTTCCCCCAATTCAAAATAACAGTGAAGTACCCCCATAGTGGAGGGTACATTGCTGGGGGGGGGGGGGGAGGAGATGCTCTTGGTGCTGAGATTGAGGGATGCTTTCAATCATGACTGTGAATTCTCTCAGTGCAATCTGTAATCCCTCTCAGGCCGGAGTGGGATATAGGAATGTCTGGAGCTCAGTCTCTGCAGCACTTGAGTTGCACACAGCACAATGAGCACCCTCTCTGCACCGGTTTGAACAGTTGAGGAGATTTTCATAATCAATACTAGAAGGCTGTGAAAGTCTGGCCTCTTTGTGGCTGTTTTAATTCAATTGAAATCTGTGACCTGCCACTATGAATGGCTTCATTGTGTTGCAGGCTGAGTATACAGGCTGCCAGAGCCTGCCTAGGCTCCAGGGTCCCTCATCTACTTACTCAGAATGGGAGCAAATTTCTCTGTAATTACAGTTCCCACCAAACCCACTTTGTGCCATGTCGGCATCAGGACATGTGCGCTGAACTTAACCGAAAATTCCCCGTTCGTGTATCCCTGAATATTGTGGGTGCTGTACACACAGGGAGCTCTGAGACAGAAATCAAATTCCCTTCAATAATTCCCTTCTCTGGCTCCCAGCTCAACCCCATCTGCACTTGTATCTTTGAGTTTTGTTCTGTGAATGTTCTCCCTCTCATCCCCCAACTCCTCTCCCAGTAGGATGAATCAGGCGGCGGGGGGTGGGGGTGGTGATATTCCTAGGTGGGATTTATCGAGTAGGGCAGGGGTGGGGGCTTGTTCCCGGGTAGGGTATATCGGTGGAGAGTGATTCCGGGTGGGTTATATTGTGTGTGTGTGGGGTGGGGCGTTACATTGCAGTGGGGGGTTTGGGGGTTATGCTTCAGACCTTGAACTGATTAATTCTGGGCTCCAGTCAATAATAAGCAGTGTGGCCCGCCACTTGGCAAAGCTACAGCCAATTAAACGGCAACAATACACCGCGGCTGCGGCCTGCTCTTTGGTTTTCGGGAGTGAGAAGCAATCCTGCTATTTGTGACTGTGAGAGGAATACTGCATAAGGCACTGCCCCCAGCCTCCCTGTCTAACACCTCACCGGTTTGTGTTTTTCACCAGGATCTTGTTTGTGTAAGCCTGAACACCCCATCTCCCCCTCCCTGGAGTCTGTGAAGTTGACGTTCGGCTGACTTCCCAAAGCTGGGGAACCAGAGCTAACAATCTGGGATCTGCCATTCTGTGTCAAACACGAGCTGCTCTGCTCTGAATCCATCTTGCAACTTGTTTGTGGCATGAGGTAGGTGATACCAGAATGCAATGCATGTCCCTCTGGCCCTTGTTACACTAACTTTGTGAGAGCCTGCAGTGCTGAGGGAACGCATACCACCCAGCCCTGCTTCCTGACTTCTCTGCTCTGCTCTGAATATTAGCTGAATTAACACTAACACTATTACTAACACCATTACTGATCTCTCTATGTGCACCATGAATATGACAAAGCAGGTTCCAGGCTCGACTCAGAGCCTGGATTGTCACCTAATAATAGACAGCTTATTTATACTGTAAATATATTGCCCATAAAATATACAGTCAATTCACTTTACAGTATATTCTGTGAAATGCTTTGAAGTTTTCTCGAATATGTAATAAGCTGCTATGTCAAATGCAAGGATTATTATTATTGCAGAAGGTAAAGACAATGCTCCCCTCTTCTGGGGCTTTGTAAACTGGCTGACAAATATAATGTACATTGTACAAATAGTGGTCCAAAATTCCACCCTGTCCCAGCTGTAAGATTCTTTAATCTAAAGATTTCAGATTGTGCAGAAATGTGGAAAATTCTTAAATTGAGGCTTGATCTAGAAGTAATGTTTTCTGCAGTTATTAAAATGCAGTGAACAGATTTCCAAACTAAGACTGAATTTCCTGATTGTTGACAGTTTTGCGAGATGTTACATGTTTGACTCAGTGATGTCCTGATTTGCTGATATGCTGTATTTCCTGGTGTTTAGTCTCAGTGATGTTGCTACGGGTTTCACGCTGTCTTGTTAATGAAATCTTTGGTAGTGAGTGTGGGGCAAAGTAAGCTGCCGGGACCGCATTGTTTGAGTTTACAGGGAGCTAGCATCACTGTTTAACTCCTTCCAAGCCACAAAATAGATTGAGCCTCCTGTAACCTCAGTCCACCCTCCCTCCATCATTGGGAGAGCATGTGAGGGGGGTCAGCGGTGTATAAAGGGGGAGGGGGGTATATACCCAGGGTGAGAGGTGGCATATGTCAGTCTGTACTAGGGGGGTATGTGTGTGACATGTGGTGGTGTGTACTGGGGGTGTATGTGTGTTAATTGCCGGTGTGTACTGGGGCGGGGGGCATGTGTGTGACATGTGGCGGTGTGTACGGGGGGGGTGTATGTGTGTGACATGTGGCGGTGTGTACGGGGCGAGAGAGTGGGGAGAGAGATCACTCCAGTCTCTGGGATTGTGTATCCATGTGCTGCTTCTGTACATCTGTACACAGTGCTGGTCTCCGCAGCCCAGTGGCCTTATACACTGCAGCACTGAATCTCTCACCCTGACTGCATGCCTCATGTCTCCAGCACAGACACTCGCTGCTACAGTACGGAGCAAACAAGAGTGCTGATGCTAATGTTGGGGCTGGAATATTTTGGGGTTTGCTCTGTACTCTTCACTTTTGGCTGACAATGACAAGAGCTTCCCATTGCACTGCTCAGTCAATTTTGTTTTACAATTTGAGACACAGAGAAAGTTCTGAAATCAGGAGGCAAAGGATAGTAGAAATCTGGAGCTCTTTCCCCCAAAAGGCAATAGATGCTGGATCCATTTATATTTTCATGACTGAGGTGAATAGATATTTGTTAGATCAGGGTATCAAGGGATGTGGGGCAGGTAATCGGAGTTGAGGTACAGGTCAGCCATGATCTTATAGAATGGCAGAAGACTCGAGGGGTTGAATGGCGTCCTCCGGTTCTTATTTTCTTTCCTATGTCCCAGACGCAGGCAGTGAAGCACTGACACTGAGCCCGTTAGCGTTCTGTCTCTGTGCTGATTGCTCGCTGACTCCAGCTCTGACATTTGCGTACAGTAGTTCCTATCCTGGCTATCTCACGGATACGGTTTACATGTTAACCGTCCAGAGTCGCTCCCATTCACATTCACGTGCAGAGCAGAACAGAATAGGGCAGAAATTCTAGAACAAGGGATTAGCTCAATTCCATTAAAAAAATATTGCTCCTGTTCTTAGTGCAGAGCAACTGTGGGCAGGTAATGGTGGCTTGTGTTACAGCCAGCGTCTCAGTCAGTCTCTGAATGAGTAAACTGTGTGTGTGTGTGTGTGTGTGTGCACGTGTGAGAGAGAGAAAGATCGTCAGTGGGGAGGGTCACTTTGTGTGTGTGTTTACATGTGTGTGCGGGGTTTGCTGTGTGTTTGTGTGTGTACATGTGTGTGAGGGGTTTGCTGTGTGAGTGTGTGTAAGGAGTTTGCTGCATGCGTGTACTTGTATATGTGTGTGAGGGGTTTGCTATGTGTGCGCGTGTGTTCATATGTGTGCGGGGTTTGCTGTGTGTGTGTATGTACATACATATGTGTGAGGGGTTTGCTGTGGGTGGGTGGGTATGCACGTGTGCGAGGGGTTTGCTGTGTGTGTATACATGTGTGTGAGGGTTTTTCAGTAATTGAAATCGCTCTGCCATTTCAATCCCTGAAAATGTGGATGTGTCTCAGGTTCAGTAACTGATGTACAATCCTATCACTGTCAGGCACTGGATGTGCACTGATGGTTCTTTGCTAGAATGTTCCTGGGTTGCTCTTGTGTGTTGCCAGGAATGTCACCAGGTTTTAGTTGCAGATGATTTTGACTGTGTTTCACAATTCTGGAAAATGCTTACATTTTAGGCTTGGGATTTGGAAGCTGTTTATTTGCTAAGAACTGCAGAAATCACCTTCCAAATGGGGGTGAGCCTGGATGGAGTGCTGTTTCAGAGCTGGCACAGACACGATGGGTGGAATGGCCTCCCCTTTGTGATGCTCACCTTGGTGCTGCTCCCAGGTTGAGAGGTGGTTAATGCATGCAGGAGAGGTGGGAACCTGTTACTGTGCTCATCTACATACTTAACACATTTGGCGCCACGCTGCTCTTAGCTCGTTGCATAGCAACAGATTAGCCCTCAGTCTGTCAGGGCTGCGGGATCATATACAGTGTTCACTGGGAAACCACCACAGCCTCATCACGGAGTCTCACTTCCTGCTGGGACCCATGGCTCCGTGCCTTTCTGCAGGCACAATTTGGGACTTCGCCAAATTCTGTCCTTACTCGTGACACCGGGTGGGGTGTGAACCACAGTTGCCAGACTGCCTGGACAGGTTACCGGCTGCACACAGCACTGGGGGGAGAGGGGATTTCTCACTATTGGTTGGTTCATAGACGGTTCACACCACCCGGGTGATGGGGTGGGCTCCCGGGGTTAGATGCAGAAAGGAGAAATATGAAAGGAGAAAGCCACAGAATATCCCTCATAATAATAATAATCCTTGCATTTGATATATCGCCTTATCACGTCTTTGAGACGTCTCAAAGCGCTTCACTGAATATACTGTAAAGTGAATTGACTGTATGTTTGTGGGTGAAATGCAGCAGCCAATTGTGCAACCGCAGTGTCCCACAAACAGTCATGGATTGAGTGACCAAGTTTTTTTATTTTTTATTTGAGGGATTATTATCTCTGGAAAGCGATCCGCCAATCGACTAACAACCAGGTTCCTATTTACTGCTAGGTAAACAGAACATGAGTGTGGAGTAAGGAAACTTGCCCAACATTACGCGTGGGAATTGAATCCAGGTCCCTTGCTTGTGAGTGCTTGTATTACACAGTCACTACACGCCACAGTAAAATCCTATGAATCCCTTTGATACATCTCAGCGACATGATAAGGCACCAAGTTGAATGCAAGGATGATTATTGTCAGTGTTTCTGTGACAGCCATGACTAGGATTGTGCCAGTAAGAGTTTATTGTCTGCAGCTTATCATCCTGCTCATCCTGACACTATTGTGCTAGCAACTCAGCCACCTCACAGTGTCAGTGCGGCAACACTCAACATAGGCACACTCCACACTCACCCACACGCCAGATACTGACAGGGACACAATATTGCAGAGTCTGTGTTTGTGTGTGGGTTGGGGGGGGGGGGGGGGGGGGTACCGTAGTATGTATCTGTGTGTGTAGATGAATCAGATGGAATGAATCACAGACAAGAGTAAAATGGTCAGATATTGAAGGAGTCTGACGTCATGAAGGCTGGCCAGTCACTGTTTTTAATGATAACTGTGAAATTGCTGTGTGAGGAACACAGTCCGGAGTTCAGTGTTGTGCTGGGATGTGTTCCCCTGGGCTCTAGTCACAGTGTCTGTACTGTCTGTGTGGTTTTGGGCAGATTTATTGTGGGATGTAGAGGTGCCCTTTGAATGACTATTAGATCCAGCCTCAGTAGCCACCTGTGGGAAGAGTTTGAAACCCAGACAAGCCTCTGGTGAGATGTTTGGTGCAATGTCTGTGTGCCGGCAGCTCCCATTGATATCGTAAGTTTAATGGCAGATGACATAAGAACATAATTAGGAGCAGGATTAGGCCATTTGGCCCCTCAAGCCGGCCCCGCCATTCGATAAAGTCATGGCTGATCTTCTGACCTAACTCTAATTACCTGCCCTATTCCCATATCCCCTAATCCCTCTATTTCTAAAAAAAATCTATCATGACATCAATCCTCAAATCCTTGTCTTAATATTTTTTCAATGTTTGTCCATCTATGAACACCCTACCTATCAGGGCTGTGGTTAACAGCCAAGTGGGAAGAATCCCTTCTTCCAGTAACCAGTCTGTCCTCCAAGTCCTGCCAACAAGCACAGGCTGGCTGCCCCATTATCAACAGTACTGCGGTGTACTGCGACCAGAAAATCAACTCAATCGTGGTACACTGTAGGGGTGTGATTTGTGACACACTGGGGGGGTGGGGGTAGTGGTACATGGGGTGTTACGTAGGCCCGCTCCTGTGGTTAGTTATACAGGACTGGTGAATTTCTAAAATGAATATTGTATAAGAAGCTCTAGTAGTGACAATCTTTAAACTTCTGAAGGGGTTCAGATAATGAATCGTGAAAGATTATTTTATTTCCTCTAATTAGTAAATTGGTAACAAGGGGATAAACTCAGGTGTGACTGAAGAGGGAGGTTAGAGGAACCTTCAAAGGGAGAGAGGGCTGTTGAACATTTTGTTACAATGAGACCGAGAGCAGAACATTGAAAATGGTATTGGATAATCATCCAATGGGGAAGACTAATGGTACGTGGAGGGAAGGGGCAGCAGTGAGAGCACTGACTTTCCTTCAGATCACACCTGAATACTTTCCTCTTCAATCTTGCCTTTGGTCACCTCTCTCTCCCCAGCTCAGCCTCAAACGACACTGCTGTTCAGTGCTCAGAGACGCTATCCTCGTGTGGGGTATTGTGTAAAGGCAAATTATTGTTATTGAACGGGATCCGTTCTAAACAACGTCGAATTTATTTTTTTATAAAAAGAAACTTGATATGTGTGAGGGAAGATAAACCTGCTCTGGGGTATTCCTTTCCAGCACAGGCATGACAAGTCACAGTGACTGTGATCTCTTGCTCACCAGGGAGGGAGTGAGCCTGGGTCTGAGGGAGTGAGAGGTCAGAGTTGGGAAGAGATTGTTTAAAGTCATTTGCTTGGAGCCGCTCATGTGATGCCCTCCTCTGCTGGGGCCCGCTCCTAATCTGCAGATCAGCGCGATTATCCGGCAGCGGGTCTTGTATGTGAGCTTTGTAACTGCTACAAGACAGCTTTGATGCGGTCAGTCTGTGTGCGGCTGCTCCCTATAATCCTGGTGGGGAATGGCTCGCTATATGCCGGGGTTTCCCTGCGCCGGTACCGGGGGCCCTGGCTCTGGATGGGTAGAGAGAGAGAGACCGGTGGGGACGGGAGGAGCAAATGTGCTTTTATAAACGTTTTATCAAGTCAACCTCTCAAACATTTTACCGTAATTTCTGCCAAGTGGAGTGACTTCTTTATTCTGGAAAGTTATGGCAGCTAAGCGGGGGGGGGGGGGGGGGGGGGGGGGGCAGGTTTATTCTGGGGAATTGTTGAGCATTGAATATGAACTTCGGCCCAGATTTGGTGCTTTGCACAGAGGAGAAGGCCAGTCATTTCCTTCTCCCACCTCCCCCCCACCCGAAATAAAAATCATTTTGAGACATGCAACATTCCAGGGTTTGGGAGAAACATTGTCGCCCGGATCATGCCTCTGAATACAATACACAAAGGAGTTTAACACATTCAGATTATTGAATCAGGATGGATTGGTACCAGCCACAGATTACCGAACGTGTGTGTAAACCTCTTCAGACAGGGAGAGAGGGCACTGAGCAAACTGGCCCCAAAGGTCAGCATAACTTTACTGTGGGCTGTGCTCAGTGGAAGGCGAGTCTCGGTTGGAGCAGAGTCAGGAGCTTGCTGAGGGAGGCAAACGGCAGAGTGAATGGCTGGCACTGTGGGCGAATTCTCCCTCCCTACCTCATTGTTCAGGCTGGGGGTGGGCTGCACCTACCCCACTGGAATGGCGAGGAGGAAGCCTAGGCTTGTCTGGCGTTGCTAGGTGGAGAAGGGCTGTCTGTATGCTATGTGGGACTGTGGAGCTGTCTGTCTGCAGCCAGGCTCCGGCCCCCACAGCTGGGCTCATGTATAGCTCAGCCCTTTTTGGGTCCTGGGAATTGTGAGGTTCAAGGACAGGCTTGACATTCATTAGTCAGTCTCGGCGGCTCTTTCTCTCCAGTCACACATTCATGGCTGTCTCAGAGCAGCAGCTACTGATCCGCCTGAATTGATACCTCATGGCTCGGCATGCACTCCACAGACAGGCATCAACGGCGTGTCATACAACAATACCTGCCTCGGGGCTATTCAACAGGAGGCCCAGCTCAGCCGCAGCCCCTTCCTCGCACACTTGTGACTGCTGGGGGAGGAGGGTGACCTCTGATATATTGCTGCGTACTCTGGCTGAGCCTGTGCACTGAGTCTGACCCGCGCAGGTAACACTGTCACCATCAGCATATGAGGCCATTGGGCCCATCATTGCTCCTGTTTCACTGCTGCTGTGTTATCATCTTCAGTATTAATCTTACTTCACAGGAGAGGGGAGGAACGCCAGCTGACCCCTTTCCTGATCTCAACACGTGCGGACTATGCATCAGAGGGCATGGCCCCGAGCAGGACTACAAAACCCTGGCTGACTTTCCCCTCTGTAGCCCAGCAACACTGAGGAGAACTGTAACACCAACAACTGACCTTCCTAATGCCAACCAACTCAGTATAAAAAAGCATTTGACAGTTTAGCTTTAGATTTTTGTGGGGGGAGGGTATGGGGTGGGTGGTGGAGGTGTACATTATACTCACAACGACAGTGGAGGGTGTTTTACCGGTTTTGTTTGTTCCCAAACTGTTACTTCACAGGGATGTGTCCTCTTTAGCAGTCCAGCTCAGGTGGCACCCTCACCTCTGGGACAGGTGGTTGTGGGTTCAAACTCTTCATTGGGACTTTGACCTGATAATCCAGGCTGACACTCCAGTACAGTGCTGGGGTAGCGCTATATTGTTGTTGGAGGTGACTCCTTTGATTCAAACATTAAACCGAAGTCCCATGTGTGTGTGTTGATTTGCATGTTAAAAGCCGCCACTGTAGTTTTGGAAAAGAGAAGGGAATCGTTGTCAGTGTCAGTGTCTTGGCCAGGAATTCTCCAGATAGTGTTCAGGGCTGTTTGTGGGAACTTGCTCTGCTGAGACTGACTGCCATAGCTGCCTACATAAAACAATCACTATTATTGACATTTAATTGACATTTAATCATACCATAAAGGGTGATGGAAGTCGATTCGATAACAACTTTTAAGAGAGAAGTAAATACTTATTTGGGGCGGACAAGTTTGCAGGGTTATGGGGAGAGTGCGGGGGAATGGGATTGATTTGGGTAGCTCTTTTCGCAGACACGATGGGCCGAACGGTTTCCTTCAGTGCTGCATAATTCTATGATTCTATGAATTACTGCAAAACAGTTTGACATGTTTCATCATGTTGTGGTGCTATCACAATGCAAATTCTCTCTAAATATTTTGTGGTGTATTTAACAAGCCAGGCAGTGATTTCCACACTGGCTGGGGAGCTGGGAGATGACAGTTTTTTTTTGCCCATTTATAAAATAAAAAAAACGTTCAGTTCCACAAGTGCAGGACAAAAGCCGAGTGCTGAGTTATTTTAGCGCCCCGTGCATGTCACAGCTCAGGGCACAAAGGAGCTATAGTAGTGCTCACAGTGACTGGGGGAGGGGCGAGCAGTTGTCATTCAGTCTCCTCAGCTGGAACTCAGGCCAGGATGAAATGGGTAGATTTGCATAAGCAGCGTGTGTCAAGGTTGAGGGGGGAAAAAAAGATATCATGAGCTGGGAAATTGAAAGTGCTGTTGTAGTGAGAGACAGAGCAGAGAAAACCCTGAGTGAAAGGTCCGCTCCTACCCTGGGGAGATTAAATTGTCCAGAAACTTACCACACGACTTTTTCCCAGTCTTTAGTTTGAAGGCAGTTTGGGGCACAAAGAGAAAAGGAACAGTCTGTCAGTGGGAGGAGTGTGTCTGATCTTTATTTCATTAACACTTTCCGTGCCTGGCGTCTTTCACGTCGGGAGGATGTTACTGTTGATGTCACTGCTCTGATTTCACTTGCACAACCCCAGTTTTCATGTTGAGAATCACATTCTCGAAGCTTCCCCCAGCCTGAAAAGCCGATAATGAGTCAGTGCTTCCATTCCACCGCTTCTCTTCAGGTTATAACCATTGCCTGCAGCACCCCTTCCCCCCACCCCACTCGTTCTTTAGTCGGGCGCACGCTGTGGCGGTCCCCACCAGGACCCTTATTCAGTCTCGGATGGAAGGCTGCTCTGAGCCTCTTAGAAACATAGGAACAGGAAAAAGCCGTGCAGCCCACCAAGCCCGTTGCACCAGTTTGGCAGAACTCTAAGTTCAATTTCTTCAACTTCCTACATATCCACAACACAACTTCCCCATCCCCAAGTTTCTGTCTGTCTGTTAAACATGTCTCCAGGTGCCGTGGTCAGTAACACCTAAAGCCTGGGTACCCCTTATTGCTGCCTGTAGTTGGATTCCACCTCTGTCGGGTGGCCGTCTCTGGTCCCCTCTCCCCTTGGTTCATGTCTCACATTGTTACCTTTAAAAGACAGCAAACAACTGAGATTAACGTTGAACGAAGATGGGTGTACGTGAGAGAAGAGAGGCCGAGAGTAACACCTGGAATCTCAGTGTGAATATCAGAACTGTGGAGACTTCTATCCATGTGAATTTACCAAGAACCACAATGGGACAGAAATCGGCAGCACAAACATTCCATGGATTAGTTATTACATTAAGTATAAGGGTGGTACTTAGAGGCAGACTTTAACTGCAGAACTACCCCCCGCTAATCCTCCCTCTGATTTATCAAAGGGCTCAGTATTTCATGTAAGAAATGGAAAAATGTCCCGATTGTAAACTCGTAAACCATTGTCACCTGATGTTAATCGGCTTAATCTGGTGCCTAACCACGGCCGTGCTGTCCAGTTTTGGATGCTGAGTGTCGTAACTGGTTTCACAAGAGGGCTGGCGGTGCGGGCCAACAGTCAGGGAAATAGTGTCAAACACCGAAGCCAGAGACGAAAGTTAAAGGGAAATAGTGGGGAGGCTGGTAGGACATGTCTCGCAGAACCATCCAGGAAATCCTGATCATTTCTTCATCTGATTTGTTTTTTTAAATAAAGTAATGCTGTTTTTGCAGGAAAGATGATGGTGACAATCCTCGAGATTGTCTAATGAGTGACAATGGCAAAGGGCGGGAAGTGCTTATTTGAGCATCTGCTGTCGGCCTGGGCAAACATCCGTGAAGTGTAAGTAGTCCGCAGAGGAATGGGCCGTCTTGAGAGAGCCCCGCCTGGTATTGTGATTCTCACAGTTAGCTGTCATAAGGCTCTGGGACGCTATCCTGCGTGAGGCGCGCTATATAAATGTAAGCTGTTATCATTGCCTGGAAACCAGAGAAACGATTGGAAGTAGGACAGGATCACCAGGCTCTCTGTTTATACAGATGACTCCAAACTGTATTTGTCCTGGCCTCTACCTCACACTCATGATCCACAAAGCCATAAAATCCCTTTTTATTTATGTTTTGATCAGATGACATGGATACCTGCTGAACCCCTTCACCATGCTTAAGAATCTCCGTACCCAGAAAGGGCACAAACTGAGGACTGCACTCGGCCCCTTTCCCCACTGGGGGAGGGGAGCCTTGTTGCCGACCGGAAGTCACCTTCACTCCACCACTATTAATAATCACATTCAATGATCATTTAGACAAACGCGGATGATGCGGGAGACAGGCGCGTGCGCATTGCAGATGGCGCATTGGGATCGGGTGCTGGAAGGGTTAATGTGCGCCGGAGGGTGGGGGACAATTGGAGCAGATGGTGGGAGAGTTCCCAGACTCCAGGCGGCGTGAGGTGTTTTACAGATGAGGCTGGGGGACATTCTCACAAAAGAACTCACTCGCCGGCTTTGTCCCGCCTTCCATCATATTAACTATATCAGGGGGACTCTTGGTCCTTAATGCTTTTCTCGTAGAATAATCTCCAAAACGGATTGTCAGCACAACAATTTGCACTTACAAGGAACGCGTGAAAGCACTTTGCAAAGATCAGAAAGATACGAAGGAAATAGAATCCGTGGGCGGCAGGTTCTCTGCGTGGCGTAGGTCGGCTCGATTAGGAATTGTAGTTAAGAGTGTAAAATTCGCACCCGCGAATAGCTGGTGTGAACTGAGTCTGGAGTCACATTCACCCACTGAATGAATTGAGATGATGGTTTGGAGTAGTGAGACAAAGCGCAGAGCAAGCTGATAGTCAGTTCCCTGATCTGCCTAAGTACACGAAATACCTCAATGGTCTGTTGGTTTGCCAACCTTTTAATAAATACATCGTGCAATTTGAAACCAAGTGAAGATCATTTGAGATCCTGGGGAGTTTCTGCATAATCTGACAGTGAAAACAGCGGAAATCTGAGAAACAACGGTTGGATTTGGGCAGAATTAGAGGATTTAAGCCCAAGGAGGGAGTTAAGAAGTAGAGAAACAAGGCAGCGAGCCAATAAGCTAAAGAACACGTAGAAAGATCTTGTTTTGGTTTCTGAAAATTTCAAAGAATTTTAAACCTACACTAGAAATGCCCCAAACCGAGTTCTCTCGATCTAAACACCAGGGGTCAAATAGTTTTTCAGGTAGGTTTGTTGTCAACTATTGTATTCCAGTTTATTACGATGGAATTAGGATACTGTGTGGGAGGGAGCTCGTGTGTAATAATAACTTCCTATGTGTTACAATAACGATTCGCTTATGTACTCTCATCAGCCTCGGCGTTACATACTGCGCCTTATCCCAGCTAATACGCTGGTCTCATATTGCTTAAATATTATTGATGGTGATTTATTGAGAAGTATTATTGAGAAATGCGAAGTTACTGGTGGAATTTTGTTAAACTCTCCAGTAATTAACGAAAAAAATGCCAAGTGGTGTCTCTAATTGTCAAATGTTGAGTTAAGAGCACAATCGCGACAGTGGAGATGTGGTGGAACCGCTCCGCAATAGTCGGAACTATTATATTATATATATATCATTATCAAATACAATTCCGTTTCCAATATGAAAACTCTCGATAGCTATGTGTACACGTGACGTGTACGAACACCCAGAAGGGGATGGGATAGGATTCCTTCGAATAAGAAGTCGCCATTCCTTTCTGGTTGGCAATTGATAGTTGTTTTATTTCAATGTTTATCAAATCGCTAGAATTATTATAAATGGTATTTCCCCATCCACATGGAGCTGGGTTAATTCTTTATTTTTATCTATTATTACTATTATTGTTATTGTTATAAAGGTGGAGTGAAGCAATCCCCTCATAGCCTCTCGCGTTACTTTTCCAGGTATGGAGTGGATGATATCCTGGAAGCTGGAGCTCGGTTTCATTGTTCCGCATGGGAAAAACGCATGTCCATTCGGGAGGAAGGGAGCTGGGAAGGAAGATAATATGACCAAAAGAGCAACTTGACTCTCCCGGGTGATGGGTGTCAATCTCTCTCTGGCGCCTCTACCGGTGACGGCGAGAACACCGAGGCGCAGTGGTGACGCCTATTGAATGATTTGCTCTGGGACTCGATGCCATCAAGTATTCGTAGGAAATGGGTGTTCGACGTATTGGTCGTTTGCACGGCCTTTTTTTTTACTGGTTCCAAGTTTGCCTCTCAACTCAACAAGAAGCTAATGTATGAAATCACAGCCTGGAGTCAGACATACCTGTGTCGGCCTTTGCTGTAGCCGCGGGCTGTTTGCGAGCACCTTGCTGTATGGCAATAACAGGCGGATGAGGTGACATGATTACACAAACGGGCAATAAAAAGCGAGTGCTCTGTGTGAGGTGACCGTGTGAAGGGCTGGGATGTGTCTGGGATTCGATTACAAGGGTTTCTGGAGACCCGGAGCAGTGTAGGACGACTGGTCACGCCCCAAGGTCACTCAGGGAGTCGCGAGGCGTTCCGATCTGCCCTTTACCCACATGAGTGCCGATTAATGCGCGATTTGTTTCTAAATAGATTCGTTCCGTTTCCAATTGAAATATTAAACCCCATCAGCTTCCCGAGGATCCGGTTGAACCGCGAGCAATGTGACGTTTTCGGGGCTCGGGCGCGTCTGTGACAAACGGAATATGATTGAGATGTTTCCTGAGAACTGATTCGGGTCCCGAGCCCACTTTATGTGGCCCACTTCTACCACGTGGTTTGGTAATTGAATACCATGATGCCGATTATATTACAGAACCTCACAGATCTGAACAATGAGTAATGTTATAGGAGGCTTGTGCTGAACAGTACACATAGCGTGCAGGTTAATTACACCGCGTTACCCCTCCTCCCAACACAATTCATTGCAGAACAATAGGAATAAGGCGAACATAGACTGAAAGTACATTGTGGTATGGCGTGTTGCTGCTGTTGTGTTGAGTTCTCTGTGTGACGGTTAACAATTTACATCAGCTCGACTTTAAAGCTTAATTTACAGGCAACGTCCCCTCGTTTCACAGTCTTACAAACCATCGCGGTTTGTCTAATAACATTGTACAGTATGATAAGGCGCTGCACAGGGCTGACCTGGGCGACAGATCCTGCAGTAATGCCAGGAGACACAGAAGCAGCTATTTTTATTATATTCTTTAAACACGAAATTGCACCTAGTCATAACATTTGAGACCGTTTTGTTTTAAAATATAAGATGGCGCCCAAATCGTGGAAAATTCTAGAATCCAGTGTTAATTTGGCGGTGGGTTTTCAGAACCTGAGGGGTGGGAACTTGCTTCCAGATCAAAACGGAATTTTCCCAAATTCTTGAAGGCCTTCAATTTTAAGACCAATAATATGCCAGATCAAGGAGAGACAATGTGTATTTTGCTGAAATATATTGTACACAGGAGGTTAGAGCATTGCTGAGCACTTGATTACTGTACATAGTAAATACACCCCTCCCCATCGTGGATCCGGAATTTTAGAAAATGATATATGTACGTTTAAAACAAAACGAATGCTCTCTTACTTACCGGTTAAAGTGTGTAAAGTATTGGTGTAAAATAATTTTCTCCTGTTATATACCAATATCGTGTAATAAATGTACATGGCTGATGAATTCTTGTGTGGATTATCACTGATTCCATCACACACCGACACCGGCTGTCATTGTCCATTTGGTGATCGATTCACAAGGATCTGAGGAGTTACAGGTCTGTGGGAAATATGATATATTTTTTAAAAATCAGATGGAATTGAAAGATGATATAATAATACACAGCAAATGTCTCTACATTTTCTCCCAATCGTGGTGCCGAATTCCGGAAGGGTGGCTGTTTTTATCTGCAGTTCACTGTGTAATCGCTGGGAACTGACTACCCGTCAGCGGCCGAGAAACCGCCAGATCCGCGCTCACTCCGATTTACTTCAAAAACACTATCTGAACAAAGCTGACTCGAGAAAACACGTCGCGCATTCTAACAGTTACTTTTAAAACGTTACATGAATTGTCATACCCCATGTTCTCTGTCAAGTGATTTGGTGCTTATCTCTCCACACGACCCTCATACAAACCAATAATAAGTGTAACAGCGGCTGTTTTACAATTCACACAAATAAGTTTCATTTAATAAATGATTTCACAGAACGATTCATAGGTTTCTATTCCCAGATTTCATTCAGGAAATGACGAGGCTTTCTCTTCAATCAAGATTCAAAGTCCAGACCGCTGGGATAATAATAATAATCCTTACATTTGACACAGCGCCTTATCACATCGTTCAGACGTCTCAAAGCGCTTCACACGGTATACTGTAAAGTGTAGTGATTGTGGGCGAAACGAAATAACACACAGTAATAAGGAAATATTTGGAACAATTGTAAACGATCCTGACACATCGCAACCAGGTTAGAAGATATTGATTTATGTTTGTGCCATTTACAGAGACAGGCAGGAGCGATTATTGGTCATCAATAACCAGGTTTATTTGGGGGGTGGTGAGTGGGGGGGTCACTCGGGTCAGACTCACCAACAGCACAGGTGACTCGCGAAGACATAACCAAGAATGTATGTGGTTGCCCTACATTCTATGTGCAGCAATTGCCATTGCAGAATGTCCATCACCTTGAGACTGCTGAGTGATGTCTCTCCCACCCAACATACACACCCGCATCACGGCAATATTACTAGCTGGCGGAATTTAGCTGCTTTAAACTCCAATTTCCCGGTGTTAGGGTTGCATCAGATCTCATTCCTGTAAGTATCCAATGTCAATACTGAATTCAGGATGGATTCTGTGATGGAATGAAGAGATCCCTCTCCCACATCTGTACGTATTGCCGGGCGGGCGTCCATCTCCCATCAGGTGTGTGTGTGTGAACAATTTTACTGTATAAAACGGAACTTGTTACTACCTTCAACCACATCATCACTGGAACGTTTTGCTTTGATTTTGTCTGCTCATAAACAATTCCTCTCAATATCACAAGTAGCCACTGACTGCGAAGCCCCGGGCAGAGAGCAAACACTGTACTGAACCAAGTCACATTGTAGCTGGCCCGGAACTGCTCCGTTTTTCTAAATAAGCGAAGATCACTCGCAGCGAATGTGCCCCAATTCCCATTTTTCATCCATTTTTACTCGTTCATTTTTGTTAAGAGAATATATCATTCGAAGACGTTAGATCTGAGGCTATTATTATCTACACACACAGAAAATGCTGCAACAGTCACACATAGGTGTTGTTACATGTTCTCTGGTTTTAAAGTATTTTCAGTGACTGAAATAAAGTTCGAAGATACGAGGTAGAGAGTGAGTGCTCGAGCCAGCAATCGGGCTAAAGAGAGACCTGGAAGCCGCCCATTCCCCCGCACTTAATAATAATAACAAATGATAATCACTCGTCTGTCTTTCAGCGTTTAGCTGTTTGTTAATGAGCTGATGGACTGGAGAAAACAACAAGAGTAAAGGATATAAACCAGGAAGGTAAAAGCAGGGATACTGGGATTGTGTGGATGGAGATCTTGACTGAAACTCCCTGGACTAATCCTCGGATAGCACGAAGAACTCTTCATATATCTTTACATTGCTCGTAGATTGTTATATTTCCTGTATTACAGTACCATGTAGCCCATCAGTGCCAATCTCTTTTATTTTGTGAGCAGTTATATTTATTTCCGAAATAAACCTGATATAATAGCCCTTTTGTACACAAATATACCATGACGTGTATACAAGGCATCATGGGATTAAACCTGTTTATAGCACAGAAAGGCCATTCAGTCCATTTTACCTGTGCTACTCTATCTGTTCAGTGCCACATCCACCCACACACACATATACATCATCCTTTTATAACTTTCTTTTTTAAAATATTTGCCTAATTTCCTTTCAAATGCGACGATGGATTCTGCTTCAAGCACTGCTTTTGGTGGGGCGTTCCATGTCCCAAAAGCCCTGGGTGTACAAACAAACTCTTAATCTCGCTCAGTCTATGTTATACTCACCTAATAATCAGATGAGTATATACACTAACCTTAACTAGAGCATATAAATTATACATTAACTAGATTTTAATGGTATTTGACTATATGTCCGGCGTGGAGGGCGCTTTATAAATCCAAGTTGTTGTTGTTGTATGTACATTTAACCTCTGCAATGTCGCATTCTGTATAATTGTTTTATAGTGTATATTTAGTTTACGTGTGGAGCCCTAGGAATGCAAGGTACAGTATTAACTAACTCAATGTGTGTCGGACAAGAATCAAGGTTGATGAGAAAGCAGACACTTTCTCACCCAGCGCATTTTAACTGGGTGGGGCGCGGGGGCTGGGGTGGGCTGCAGACGACAATAAAGATCATCTGAAGCTGGAACCTGGAATGTTGTCCCCAGGCTGTGGGAGAGTTGCTGACGTCCCCTGCAGTGGGGATGGAGTTGCTGGCAGCTCCCACCAGTGTGAAGGGGAGGGGGGGTGAGAGGGGTGGGGGAAACCTTATATAACCTGACGTGTTTGCGGTCCAAGAATCATCTACCCCCTCCCCCCATCGCAGAATCATTCTAACTAATTCTAAAACGAACGAATACGATAGGTTAAGGAGTGTCGGGGGGTGGGGGGAAGCTGGCCGGAGATCACCCACCCCTACATTGAACGAAACGTTGGGTAACATTTAACGCATTTAACATCGAAACTTATCGAATTCAACCTTTGATCATCGCGAGATTGTGTAGCTACCAGCATCCATCCCCCTCTCTCTGAAGCCCACACAGCCCCACTCAGAGCCTGGGCTGGGACCTCTTGCACACACTCTTTGGGTTACAGATATTTGCCAGTGATTTTAATCAGGTAAACTCGCAAATAGATCGCTGTCTGATTCTAGTCTGTATGAAGCTAAGAATGACATGTCTGGCAAGGAGAGATGTGCGTGAGAACAAGCCCAGTCCATTAAAAAGGAGGCGAGCACCAGCAAGGCTTGAATTGTCTTTATATTCCCTTTTCCCGGGTCAGCTCACGGGACACGGTGCCTGCAAAGTTTTCCCGAGGAACTCACGGGCTTTGAGAGAAACACAGACTACAAAGAGTTTTTTATTTAAATTTGTTTTGAATTTAGCGGATTTGCATGAAAACTGCATGAAATGACCTCATCGACAGCTGCCATTAGTCTTTAATTAACTAGTGAATGGGAGCCCAGGCGGGGAGACTGGGGACGTGTCTGGAATGTAAGTAGGAGAACAGCCCGGGACAGACCACTACAGACACCATGTCTGAGCCGAGAGAGAGACACACACACACACGCACGCAGACTGCAATTAGCCTCATTCTCACACTTTTCACAGGACTCGACGGTTTGTCCTGATCACCGATTGTCGTAATGAATCTGAGAAACTTCAGGGAACCCAACCTAACCTGGTGCGAGCTCACCCACTGGAGCTGACTAGTCTAACCCGCAAACTAGAGTTCCTCGCCTCTTCTTTTACATTCTTCCCCTTCCGATATTATGTTCTTTTTAAAAAAAGAAACTTTACTGTCAAAATAAGATTTGATTCATTTTGTTTTACTGACGTTCACTCACCCAAGTTTAAACTTGGAGTTGTGACAAGATGTTACCCCCCCACCCCCAAGCTCATTGCCCGCGTGTGTCCAACACCCTGATTGGTCAAGGTCTGGTTGAAGGAAAGGTTTAGGTGCCAGGTTAGGGCCAGAGTTTCCAGCACTTTATAAACAGGCACAAAAAGATCGATGTTAACATTGTTTCTTAATGTAATGTTTGAAGGTAATTCAGGCAAATACTAAAAGGGCTACTAATCTGTTGGTTACCTGTTAATCTGATCCCTGTGTGTCCTTCAGTCATTGACGCTAAACATGTACAGTCCACAGGTGTTCCTGCACTTTAAAACATGTTTCGCTCTCACCTGTTAGTTATGTGATCAATGCATTGCCCCATTTTACACCCATTTTATTCAGTTCTCTGCATAAAACGGCCTGTCAGAGAATTTTTGTAAAATATTACAATTGACACGGAAGGCTGAGAACTGGCCCGAGCTGTGGTTTACACAACACTAACGCATGTTACATGAAGACAACAAGCAGCCTCCGGGAACTGGTGCAACAACATATCTTCATATCAATTAAGTCTACAATTAAGGGAGAAACGGTCGCACGTCGGGGTCAGTGCAGAGCGAGTGGCCCCGGGCAGTGCCCAGTGTGTGACATTAGGTGTGTAGTGGACGTGACCGGTTTGAAGAGGAAATAGACAAGTTCAAGTACACAGCACAGGGCTTCCCTGAGCGCTCAGGCCGCTTCCGGCGCAGCCTTTTGTTCGCCTCTAACAATTGTTCTTTATCTGATGCTGTACTTGCTGTGTGAGGGAGGCCCCGTTTCCAACTTAACCCACACTCTGGCGGTTTAGCGCTCAAATATCCTCCAGCCCCAATAGGTGTCCTAATAATACATAATAACATATGTCTCCCATTTCATCCCGAGCCGCGCCGAGAGACAGAGGTCACACAATCGGCACCCACACACGTTTTATTTTTTTCTTTAAAAAAAGTTTATAAGTTTCTGAACGTCATTGCAGAAGAGAAACAAAGTTGTACGTTAAGAACGTTGGT